AGTGATATGGAGAAAGTGGATACTTTTTCCCAAAAGTTATTTACGTATTCCCATAATACAAGAACTAGGGGTCATCAAATGAAATTAACAGGCAGCAGATTTAAAACAAATAAAAGGAAGTTCTTCTTCACGCAGCGCACAGTCAACTTGTGGAACTCCTTACCTGAGAAGGTTGTGAAGGCTAGGACTATAACAGAGTTTAAAAGAGAACTGGATAAATTCATGGTTGTTAAGTCCATTAATGGCTATTAGCCAGGACGGGTAAGGAATGGTATCCCTAGCCTCTGTCAGAGAATGGAGATGGATGGCAGGAGACAGATCACTTGATCATTGCCTGTTAGGTTCACTCCCTCTGGGGCACCTGGCATTGGACACTGTCGGTAGACAGGATACTGGGCTAGATGGACCTTTGGTCTGACCCGATACGGCCTTTCTTATGTTCTTATGTTATGTTCTTATGCCAGAATTGAAGCTGAGAAAAAAGCAAGATAAGTATGACATGTTTCTAAGAAGTATGAGACCTTGTCATTTGCCAAGGCTGGAAAGAAATGTCTAACACTACCAGAGAGCTAAAATTACCAGCTTTTCAACAGTAGAAACCACGCATTTTTGGTTCTGACTGCTTGTGGTTAACACATTTAGAATGGATATGATAAAAACGGATTTAATATTTTTTTAAATATCAAGATTTATTACTGGTTGAGGTAACTTGATCTAATCTTAACTTTGGTCAATAAATCTGAGATAAGGATCTGGCCAGTGAAGCAGAAAAAAAAGACTTCTGCCTTGTGCTTTTTTTGTCTTCAGGAAGTTGTTTAAAAAGGCAACCTTTTATTAACTCTGTTTTGGCAGTTCACACACAACTTGAAGTACTCCTCAAGTACTCCACAAGTGCTCCTTGTTCTTTTTGCTGATACAGACTAACACGGCTACCACTCTGAAATCTGAAACACAGATCATAATAATAATAATGGAGAATGGGTAATGTTTAATATACTTCCCTCTCAAAAAGGAGATCCACTCCAGTGTTTTTCCTGCTGTGACAGGGTATTGACCCCACACAAGGCAGAGTGGGTTAAAGTAGGTCAATTAACCTTATGTGCTGCACCTAGAGGAGAGCCAGAGCTCAATAAAGCCTAATGGAAGAAGTAGCTCAGCTGGGAAGGAGCAGGTTGGGCCTGTCTAAAGGGATGAAGCTGAGAACAGAAGGGGGCTGCTGCAGAGGAAGTAGTTGGCAGTCACTCCCTGAGGGAAGGGAGGTTTCTTTAAGGCTACAGCGTCTTGACAAGTCAAAGGGAGGAAGAAGTCTACAGTCACTCCCCGGGAGGAGGGTATTTGGACTGGGGAGACCGGGGGACTAAAAAGGGGATGTAGGAAAGAGCCCAGGAAAACAGCGACAGGGTCTGGGAGCAAGAAGACCGTAGCTGGGGGAGACATGGTCCCTGGGCTGGAACCTGGTGGACCCAAGTTTCCCTGTCAGCAGCTGGGAAAGTTACACAAGACCTGGCCTTGAACTGGAAGACTGCCTGGAACAGCATGTGGACATTAGATTCAGTGGGACGCTGATATCCTGGAAGGGGAGGACTACAGTGACCTGGCTGGAGGGCTGAGTCACAAAGAGGGAGTACCGTGAAACTAGGAGAGTGAGGGGGAGATGTGGTAGGAGCAATTGTCAGACAGGAAGCCTAAGACCTGAAAGGAGCTAATAAAGAGGTGTCCCAACAGTGAGTGAACCCCGTTACACCTGCACATGCTACATCTAATACTGGACAAATCTGGTTAAGAAAAATGCATGCAGCAGACCATCTATTAATCAACATGGAAGCCACATCAATTTATTCTTAACCCCAAAAAGCCTTTATAAGGATGTCTGAGAATAAGAATTGTTCATCTGAAGTGATCACTAAATTTATAACATTCCTTAAACTTTGTCTGATTTACTTACAGTATTCACCTTCCACGTAGTATCTAAGGTACATCTTCACAGCAAACAGCCACCCACCACAGAGTCTCTCAAAGCCTGGGTCAATTTACTTGAGCTCATGCTGAGGAACTAAAAACAGCAGTATAGATAGGGCCCTACCAAATTCATGGCCGTCAAAAACATGTCACAGAACGTGAAATAAGCCCTTCCCTGTAAAATCTGATCTCCCCCTTGCTATTGGGAACACCCCAGCCAGGGGGCTCCTAGGTGCAAGTCCCGGCTGGGCTTGTCCTTCCCCTGCACAGCTGCTCTCGTTCTCAGGGGGAAGATCAGACCCACCTCCGAGTGCCTCCCCTGCTGCAGGAAGCTCCAGCCCCGGAGGTTCCTGCAGCTGGAGGAGGCTTGTGCAGGTGTGTCATCCGATATCCCCCTGCTGCTCTCCTAGCTACAAGTCCCTACTGGGCTGGGGAGGACAGGATTTGTCCTTCCCTTGCATGGCAGTTGTGTGGGAGGGTGGACAGTGGGGGAAAGAGATCAGATGCACCTCCCCCTGCTGCAGGAAGCTCCCTGCCCAGCACTGGAGGTTCCTGCAGCTGGAGGCTTGTGGGGGTGGGTCTGATATCCTCCTGCTTCTGGAAGCGCCCCAGCTAGAGGACGGACTCCTAGCTGTAAGTCCCTGCTGGGCCAGGGAGGAACAAGACTTGTCCTTCCCTTCTTGCATGGGGGGGGGGGGGCAGGCTCAGACCCACTTCTGGGTACCTTTTGGGTTGAGACCCCCAAGGCTACAACACCATATTTCAGATGTAAACAGCTGAAAACGTGAAATTGACCAATTTTAAAATCCTCTGGCCGTGAAATTGATCAAAATGGACCATAAATTTGGTAGGGCCCTAAGTATAGATGTTTGGGCTCAGGCTCTGAAACCCAATGAGGGTCTTGGAACCTGGGCTATAGCCCAAGCCTGAACATCTATACTACTATTTTTAGCCCTGCATAGCAGGTCCTACAAGCTTGAGTCAGCTGACCTGGGCTCTGAGACTCACTACTGCAAAGGGGTTTGCTGTGTAGACATCCCCTAAGCTCTCTAAGAGTTGAAGCACCATGGTGACTCATTCAGAGACATCTGTAAACAGATTATGTGGTAATATTGTGCAGAATTTGAATGTCATAAAAACATTGGAAATGGAGTTTTGGGATGACTAGGTGGTAGCAAAAACTAACACACTGTAGTAAATACTGTCTGTATCAAACTAATCTATGGACTGGAAAGTAACAACAACATTTTCCTTCAAGATGTCTTTGTGTTTAAACAGAATATGCCACCATAAATTAAAGCTATCTATTTTAGAGCTGACTAAACTTTTGGCCTGGACAGTCTAGAACTGGGGTAGGCAACCTATGGCACACGTGCCGAAGGCGGCACGCAAGCTGATTTTCAGTGGCACTCACACTGCCCAGGTCCTGGCCACCGGTCCGGGGGGTTCTGCATTTTAATTTAATTTTAAATGAAGTTTCTTAAACATTTTAAAAAGCTTATTTAACTTTACATACAACAATAGTTTAGTTCTATATTATAGACTTATAGAAAGAGATCTTCTAAAAACATTAAAATGTATTACTGGCATGCGAAACCTTAAATTAGAGTGAATAAATGAAGACTCGCACACCACTTCTGAAAGGTTGCCAACCCCTGGTCTAGAAATTGAAGGTGCCACAAGGACTCCTCGTTGTTTTTGGGGAATAGTAGGAATTTATTTACAAAAATCACGGGGTTTGTACAATGTTAGGGTTTTGCTAATTATACTACATAGCTATTTCTTAAACAGGAACGATGTAATTATAGTCAACAAAATATTTATCAGAACTAAAGTACAGAATAAAAGAGACATGGGTACTGTAAACAGAAGTTACCTTCCCAGGTGATCCAAATGCAAAGAGACCAAGATCTTCATAAGAAGTGACAGCTGTTAAAAGAAAAACAAAGTATTTCCAACTTCATATTCACTTTAGTTAGGAATAGTTGTGTGTGTTTTTTTATTTATTTTTTTACACTGACAAAACTAAAGCAGTATTTTATGATTCTCATTTATAATATAGCTTTAGGATGTAAACACTTTCTTCAACATACATTGCTACATATACATAACGATTTAGAGAAATTTATATTACAGTAGTTTTACATTAAACATGATTACAAATATATGGATACCACATCACCTTCTCTTTAAGAATTCTTGTAGATTATACCATGGATTAAACCATTCTGAACAATATTTATTAAACAAATTATTTTACTTCATTTTCATAAAGAATAAAAGGGGCAGCTTTGTATTACAGTGGACAAATCTTTCAAGAAATGTAAGCCTCAGCGCCCAGTTCTGCAAGGTTTTGAGCACCCCCAACGCCCACTAATTTCAGGGAGAGCTGAAGGTGCACTGTACTTTGCAGGGTTAGCCCCCAAGAACAATCACTACAGATACTTACATACAGTGTAACCTGCACTGAGGCCCACCTTCAAAAGTAATCCCCTGACCTAAGCAACCATGTTAAAAGTAATCCAAGTTTCCAATATATATGCTGGTAACTTAAAAAGGGATCATTCTGAATGGAAGAATTAATCTCAAAATGTTGGTTGGTCCACAATTTGTTACTAGAAAATTAAGGAGTTTCAAAAAGATGTAAATTATTCTCAAAAATGCCACCCCCTTTCTTCTAGTCTATATTAATGCAGGACATGGCTGAGATTCAAACTGCTGTAAGTATTTTAGAGGGCAAATCAGTCTTAAACACATTTTTTATTTTTATAACTCTTATACTCTTTCCTCTCACTTAGCCCCCTTGCAATGTGCTTTACCATCTCTTCCCATGTCACAACTTATTTTGGCCCCAGCCCTGCAAGTTGACCTGCCAGGACAGACCCCCGAGCTGAGTCCCGCTGAAGTCAATGGAATATCACATGGGAGAAAGCATCAGCCTGCATCAATCAAGTTGCAGGATTGGGGCCTGTGGTGGGGTAGCTGCCCCACCCCAGTAAACAGGGGTTAAAAGCAGCCCTGGAGGGGGCTGCAACTGGAAAAGCTGGGCTGATTAAGGAAGCAGCCGCAGCTGTGGCCAGTTTAATCAGGGCCCAGCTGGCCCTTATAAGAGGGCTGTGGGCCAGCAGAAGGCCAGAGAGTCTCTCTCTAGCTGTAGAGAGAGACGGGCCTAACTGTTTGGGAGCTCAACAGAGTACTTGAGTGGAGGAGGGCTGGGGAAAGGCTAGAGGAGCTGGGGAGCTCCACTCTGGAAACCCCCAGGCTGCAGACCTTGTTAAAGGCCGAGAAGGTACTGGGGTTGCAGCAGGGCAGCCCAACGGTAGGCAGAGGCAGCAGGTTCAAACCCTCCTGACCAATGAGTGGCAATTACACTGCAGTCCGCCCCAGTGAATGGGGGCTAGATGGTGACTGGCAGTAGACAAAGACTGAGGTGAGGTGGGCATAGGGGGTTCCCTGGGGAGGGGAGCTCCTGAGAGACTGTGAGGTACTGCAGGGGCAGAACCCAGAGAGAAGGGGCACCAGGGTCCGGGAGGGACACCGGCCTGCAGAGGGCACTCCAAGGCTGCAAAAAGAGCTAATTCCCAGGACGACAGCAGGTGGCGTCTTGTTGGTGAGTCGTCACCCACCACAGGGCCTCAGACTAAACTCAAGACAGACAAATAACTGTGTCTCTGTAAAGTTGTACACAGTAATAATTACTGTAGCATAGATAAAATAACAGAGAACTTAATCATCTTGTAGACCTTTTGCAAGCTCAGTGTTTCACATTCCTCTCTAGTACCATCATCAATATGTTGTGCAAAAACAAAATGGGCCAGAGTCTGCTCTGTTATGCCAGTGTAAACCTAGCTTCAAGTATCCTGGGGGGGGTGGAGAGGCTCCTTCCTTAGCCAGCTGAAGACAAAATGGAGGGGTCTCCCATGGGTTTAAATAGATTCTCTCTTGTGGGTGGAGACCCCCCTCTTCCCTCCTATGCAAAGTCCAGCTCCAAGATGGAGTTCTGGAGTCACCTGGGCGAGTCACATGTCCCTGCATGACTCAGTCTTTACAGGCTGAAGCCATTGTCCACATGGTATCTTGCATGTCTCCAGGAAGACTTCTTATGTGGATTGGAGCATTCCAAGATGCATTGTTCCCCAAGTAGAACAGGAGTACTTGTGGCACCTTAGAGACTAACAAATTTGTTAGTCTCTAAGGTGCCACAAGTACTCCTGTTCTTTTTGAGGATACAGACGAACACGGCTGCTACCCTGAAACCTGTTCCCCAAGTGTTTCCTGATCAGGTACTTAACCTGGCGAATTCCTTCCTAAAGAAGCTGACCAAATGCCTCACAAAGCTTACTTAGAAACCAAGCAAGCATACAGCCCATATTCTTAACCTCAAGTAGAAAATGATATATATGTACAAATAGGATGAATAGATATAGTAGACCATAACCTTTACGGAGATATGTTACACAAAACATATTCCAGTTATGTCATACATACATTTATAAGCACCCCTCCCATAAAGCCTTATGGGGTACGCTGTCACCCTAATCTTGTACCCTAACTGGCTGGAGAGAAAAAGGTAGCCACAAACTAGTCCAAAAGCACCAAGCAGCTATTGCCATCTTTCATTAAAGTATCCCTAACCGCTACTGATTTTTTTTTTAAATGTGCGTAAAGGAGATCACTCAACTGATGAAGACAGGAACAGCAGTCTCCGAGCAGAATCAGGAAACAGTCAGCTGAGTGACCAAAGCTAGCTATGGAAAACAAAAGCAATAAGGAAAGAAAAGAAAGCTTTCTCCTACCATGAAAACCATCCTTAAAGTGAGGAAGACAGATAGGGCGGTAATGACAAGATGGATGATGGAGACAGAGGCCAGGTTATACCAGAAAACCTCCATGTAGTAGAATTTAAGGAACTGGCATCTTAAGGTTTCAATAACAGTTTTAAAAAAGCATGAGTTAAATCATTAGGTGGCAGCTGATTAGCTATTGTAGAGAGTTAAGATTCCAAAGCAAATATTCATGAACTATGATAAGTTAATACTAAGGGTCTAGAATCAGAAGACACACCAGAATCAAGCAGTGTCAGATGATCTCTAAAACAGAAGAGGTATACAAAGAGCAAGGGGATGGATAACAGTCAAATAAAATTACCAAGCCTGATAAGGTATCCATTAAAGTGAACGAGTATCCACAATGATGCTAATTTAGGGCTTGCTGCTGCTCTTATGACTTCAAAGCAAGCAGCAGCAGCAGGATCTTGGAGTATATATATTCCAAGATCCTGCTTTATATAAATAAAATGCTTGAATCCAGAAGGTGTTAAAACAGTCCTTACTAAGCTACATCAAATATTTCCCTTTTTTCATGCATCTTTGCAGAATTTCTAGGAGCTCAAAAATCATACCTACTGCAAAAAAAAATTTCAGTCAAAGTTTCATGACAATGTTTCAAAATCACACTTATGGATGAGTTTTATAACAAAATAATGACAAATCTTAATTTTCAAAAAATTACAGCAACAGTGAGATATACAGTATCATATTTATATACCATTAATTCAAATAATTTTACAGGGTCACATCTTTGTAGATGAGACAAACTATAGACTATTGCTCTATATATTCTCTTCACTTACCAGTCTGAATGCACATACTAAGCAGCAGAAATACAGAGTAAGAAGCAAGGCTGGCAACAATCAGCAGCAAGATGCTAAAATATAAAATATTGAAGTTTAAGGCATTTCTTAAAGTAAAATACATGTTCTCTTTTTAAAACTGGTTTATTATTGCACAAGAAAGAAGTTATAACGAGACAGGACTTCCTCATTTTATGGCTCACATCTGCTGACCAAAGTTCATATGGTCACTGACTTATCTGCTGTTTGCTATGTTCCACTACACTTTACATTTTTATGTGCTAGATTATAAGTCATCACAGATTTATGTAGGACAAAAGCACTGCACGTGAACTATTTCATAACCATAACTGGAACATAACCACCAGGAACTGCAACTCTGCCGCATGTGTGTCTGTATATATATTAAAGTGAACTTAGTCCTTACAGAAGGAGTCAGACTGACAATGGTAGTTAGTCCTCTGTTCATTCACAGAATAGGTACTACATGAAGAGTAGAAATACAAGCTTCCCCATACTGCTCAGCAGAAGTGCATCATTCCTATCCTGGACAGCAGGATTCTGTTCTAAATTCTAAAACTAAATGGGATAATGATTTTGTGATATAAACATCTATCCATAGGAACTGGGTTGAGTACCAAATTGCCACCAATTTAATGAGACTTCAGGTCACTACCTCCACAGGCCAGATATGAATGAATAACCTAGAAGTGAAAGGGTCCATAGCCTTAATGCCAAAATTACAAGCCACCCAGTCCCTGTACAATGTAATATTTTTACATACAAAAATCTCAGCTCAGATCTTGCTCCCCACTTTAAAAAAAAAAAAGTTATGTACAGTACTTCAAGAACTGTCTATCAGGGATGGTCTAGACAGTACTTGGTCCTGCCATGCGGGCAGGGGACTGGACTCGATGACCTCTCGAGGTCCCTTCCAGTCCTAGAATCTATGAACATGTAAAGGTCATTTTAGAATGGATATGTACGTGAAACTAAAAACTTACCAAAAAGAATAGGAGTATTTGTGGCACCTTAGATGCTCTAATAAATTTGTTAGTCTCTAAGGTGCCACAAGTACTCCTGTTCTTTTTGCGGATACAGACTAACACGGCTGCTACTCTAAAAACTTACCTAAATCCAATGATCCCTGTGTTGGCCATGGCATAAGATAAACCAAGTATTCCACTTCCCATGATTGCATTCATTAAATTAAATACTGAGAAACCAAAGGAAACACCTGAAGATGCATGATTCAGAGCGCTCTGTAAATAGGATAAACAAATATAATTAGTATGAGGGTTTTGTGTTTTTGTTTGTTTGTTTTGGAGAGACCAAAGAAATTTCAGCCACATAACTTCTCCCTCTCTCCATCAGCAGACCCTTATAAAACTCTAGAACCCAGACTTAAAAAATAAATAGTACAGCATAGTAATGATCCCCAAAGACAGTAGTTTTCTACTGCAAACTAGAGTGGTTTATATTAGAATGTGGTTAGCTTTGTTTGTTAAAGAAGACTTTGATAGCCAATGAAGGGGGGGGGGGGAGGAGGAGGAGAAAGGTAAGGAAACGGCAGCACTTGGGAGAGTTGAATGCTTCCAAGCCTTAGTTAAATAAATGATCAAACATCTCAGAAAAACTGTTCTCCTCACTTTAAAGACCTGTACTATGCGGTGTGCCTGCATCAATGCTCATTTCATCCTGCTCCACTCTGTAGGGCCAAATCTCCCTGCTATCAGCCCCACTTTGTATCCTTGTCATCTTTCTGCCACCTTCTAGGTATTATTTTATTAGTTCACACTGTCCTTTGAGCATGAGAGTCTTTTTTTCATGTGCTAAACACCTTCTCCTCTCCTTAAAATATCTCCTCAAAATACACTTTCTTCATAGAATCACAGAATCAGAACTGGAAGGGACCTCAAGAGGTCATCTAGTCCAGTCCCCTGCACTCAAGGCAGGACTAAGTATTATCTAGACCATCCCTGACAGGTGTTTGTCCAACCTGCTCTTAAAAATCCCCAATGATGGAGATTCCACAACCTCCCTAGGGAATTTATTCCAGTTCTTAAACACTCTGACAGTTAGGAAGTTTTTCCTAATGTCCAACCTAAACCACCCTTAATGCTATTTAAGCCCATTGCTTCTTGTCCTATCCTCAGAGCTTAAGAACAATTTTTCTCCCTCCTCTTTTATGTACTTGAAAACTTATGTCCCCTCTCAGTCTTCTCTTCTTCAGACTAAACAAACCCAATTTTTTCAATCTTCCCTCACAGGTCATGTATTCTAGACCTTTAATCTTTTTTGTTGCTCTTCTGTGGACCGTCTCCAATTTGTCCACATCTTTCCTGAAATGTGGCACCCAGAACTGGACACAGTACTCCAGTTGAGGCCTAATCAGCACGGACTATAGTGGAAGAATTACTTCTCGTGCCTTGCTTACAATACTCTTGCTAATATCTCCCAGAATGATGCTTTTTTTTTTTGCAACAGTGTTATCCTGTTGACTCATATTTAGCTTGTGATCCACTATGACCCCCACATCCCTTTCCGCAGTACTCCTTCCTAGGCAGTCATTTCCCATTTTGTATGTGTGCAACTGATTGTTCCTTCCTAAGTGGAGTACTTTGCATTTGTCCTTATTGAATTTCATCCTATTTACTTCAGACCATTTCTCCAGTTTGTCCAGATCATTTTGAATTTTAATCCTATCCTCGAAAGCACTTGCAACCTCTCCCAGCTTGGTATCGTCCGCAAACTTTATAAACGTACTCTCTATGCCATTATCTAAATCATTGATGAAGTCTTCATGAAGTCTTTCAAAAACAAATGCTCCAAAATTCTTACTCAATGGCTACATTATGTATCATTTGTCTGAACTAGCTTATCAGCTTCTTGGGGTGGAGACTGTCCTCATTTGCTTCTAGGGCACCAAGCACACTAATGCTAATAAAATACAAGCAGCACCAAAAAATGCCAAGACAGTTCAGGCGAGTCTCAGCTTACGCGGTGGTTCCGTTCCGTGGTTAGCGCGTAAAGCGAAAACCGCGTATAGTCAAAATTACATTGAGTTGAATGGCGGGTGGAATCGCCTGCACTACAAGTACAATATTAAAATTATTGTTTCTCTTTTTTTATTGTTGTTTTTTTGTTTTTGCCAACCGCGTAAAGCTGAAATCGCGCATGTTAAGATGCGACAGACCTGTAATTCCCACCCCAACCTCCCCACATTCTCATCAGGGCTGCATGTCCCTGCTGGTTTAAATTCAGCCCAGACCAGTAAAACCCAACCCCAATAGTCATTACCATCTAATAGTTGTCTAAGACGAGTTTGGTGATCTCAGTCAAGTGAACAATTGTTTCCCTTCACAAACAACCCGCACCATCACCACGGGCCCTAATCTACTTTCTCGGGTGGCAGGATCAAGCAAAAAAGCCAAGACTCGAATTGCTCATGGAGAATGATCTATCCTCCCATCCCCAGTCGCCTCCCAAAGCACAAGTGGGGAAGCCTGCCTAGGCGGGATAAAAAGTCTCCCCCTCCTCGCCTCACACCTTCGTGACAGACAGCTCCCTCCTCCCCGGCTCCAGCTCAGACCCAACTCTGCTCCCTCAGCTCCTGCCACAGACCCCCCCCCCCAGGACCCCCTCACGCCCAGCCCCCGGTCCCCTCACACACATTGCCCAGCGGCGCTGGGGGCAGCAACGGGGTGGACTCCTGCTCCTCTTCCTGCTCGCGGGCAGACAGGTACCAGCCCGGCTCGCAGTTGATACTCCCGGGTCCCGGCTGCTGCATGGTGCCCTGTGCGCCGAGCCAAGCGAGCCGCCCCATCCCGAGCCCACTCTCGAGGGGCGGGAGTTGGGCGGTGCCTCAGGCCGGACTGGAGCCTCCCCCTAGAGACGGCCGGGGGGGGGAGGGGGGAGGCGGCGCCGCCTGATGCCGTCACTCTCCCCTCCCCCACGCCCGTTCGCCGGTCTCCGCCCGATGACGTCTTAATGCGCCTGAGGAGAGAGCACAGGTAGGCGCGCGCGCTGCGGGAGCCCGACATGAGGTGAGGGGCGGGCAAGGCTCGCAGCCCGGCCGGGGAGTCGGTTAGTGAGGAGGATACGGGGGCCCCTGTGGGGGAAGGGCCGGGCCCTGGGTATCTGAGGGGAAGGCGCTGACCCCGCGCCGGAGCAGGAGGCTGCGGCCGCGCTGTGCAACCGGCGAGCCGCGACAGGGGACGGGACCCGGCCCACCTGTCCCCCTGGCTGAGGAGCGAGCCGGACCAGGGCGTTACCCGTTCTGGCCGGTGCCCGGCTGCGGCCCGGGCTGCAGAGAGACGCCGAGGTGGAAGTTCCTGGTCTTTCTAGATCAGCTGCCCCGCCGGTGCCGTTCGCCCCCTGGAGAGTGACCGCACTGAAGCTCTCGTTTGCTTTACATTGTGCAGGGGGGTTGTTCGCGCCCCTCTCCGCCCAGCCCCTGGAAGGGCACCAGGACGGGGCGGTTCTTCTCTTTGTGGCCTTAGCTCCCAGGTCAGGTTCAGACGCACAGGAACAAGGCTGCAGCCAACACAGAAGGGAACGTTTAGTGGTTTAAAAACGTTTCCATCTGAAGCAAGTTCAGGGATCCATTTGTTGGTCTTTTGGCCCAAGTTGATCTGATCTTGCTCCTCTAAAACAAAACTGGACCCACTGGTCTGGAAGCTGCTGCTCAAACAAATTCAAAAAGGGGAGGCTAATGTAGTCAGTCTCTCTTCAAGGTTCAGTGTAAGGCATGGTCCACTTAAAAATTAAATTGAGCTAGCTACTGGTGCTCAGGGCTATAGGTAGGTTTGACCTAACTGCCGGTGCAGACAGAGGTAGGGCACTGGAAAAATTGTTCTGTTGACCTGATTACTGCCTCTTGGAGGGATGGATTATACATTGAAAGAAAACCACCTTACATTGATGTAGGAAGTGTCAGCACTACAGTAGCTGTCATATAGACATGCCCTAAAACATAATCAGGGAATGAATGCTGCAGATTGGGTCTTTGCAGCAAGACCTACCTGCTTCTGACCCAGTTCAAGTGCAACCTCAAGATTGATGTCAGATAGAACAGTCTATTGTTTTGGAGGGAGACTAGCAACAGAAAATTCTTCAGTTACTTTGAACCTAGCAAAATAAAGGCCTCAGTATACCATCCGAAGAACCTTGAACTGAATCCATTTTCATAGTGGCAATAAGTGCAGATTATGGAGCTAAGGAATTACTGATTGTCTTCCTTCTATACCAAGGAACAAACAAAACATTCATCAACTCTTGCAGCTTTTAGATTAATTTCAAGGCAAGCCTTTTAGGAGTGAATTACTTGTTGTATGAAGGGGACTAAAGAAAGCATGAGTGATTGTATTCAGGACTCCATTAGAGAGGAAACAGTCTTTCCAGAAAAATTTAAGAAGGTAAGTCTTCCCAAAATAATGTTGCCAAGTAGAGTTCCAAGTGGAAACAGTATCCAGACACTCTGAAATTCTGAACTCATCCAATGAGGAGTGGTAGCCACATTAACTGAGTAACTAGAGGGCATAAGGCACCCTCAATATGCTTTCCAGGAGCATTACTTAAGTCAGGTTTCCTACAAAGGGGCAGTCTAGTGGAATGGGACAAGGTGAGGAGTGAAACAAAAACTTATATGACCCACATCTGTTTCCGTTTCTGCGGTTTTGGGTGACAATTGGAAAGATCTCTACTTCCACCACCATATGGTAATCCTTTGTACAGCTGGCCATGCTAGCAGTTGATTTATCTAGCCCCAGAGGCGAAGGCACCAAAGCCCACTGGACTAGGCTTGTATATTTTGCACAATACTCAACTTAAGCTGTGAGAGCACATACAATCACCAATGCGTGTCCACTCTGAACACTGAGGAGCCTTTGAGTGAAAAAGGAGGCAAAAAAAAAGTAAAAGATACACAGGAAAAGGATAGAAACACAAAGGAAAGGTGGTACCAACTGCATGAGGGCAGAGCAGGAAATGAGGGTGCACAGGGAGTGGATGGCTTTTTACCACCACCAAAAAAATCAACTGCATGACTTAAGAGCAATACAAATAAGACTTACGTCCAAACAACTGACTGCTATCATGGGAAAACTTACACAATGAGACACAGCACTCAGATACTATACTACAGTGATGAGTGCACTATGAAAACCTAGATAGACCTAGTGACAGGGGATAGCTCTACCTCTTCCTCTTGTAAAACCAATAGCCTCATTTTGTATATATTGAATGGGGAGGTAGAGCAGGCAGAAAGCAGCAGCCCTTAAGGGAAACACAAAGATAAAGACCGATTCCTGTTCCAGTTCAGTTTACCCTCCCACAAATGAGCTAAGTCCCTGCAGCGTGATTCCACCCACCAGCAACTGCAGTCTGGCTACCAGTGCTCACTGATCAGCTTTATCAGAGACAGCAAACAGATCTAAACATATTTGTCTTAATGGGAGCATCATCAGGCCCATCAATTGCAAGTACACTTCACCTTTGTGTATGGGTATGAGGTGATTGTCCACCATTACATAAAATTGGTTGAGAATTCTCTATGAACTATACAAAACTGTTGTGCATTACTTGATACAAACAAACTTTATTTTGTGAATTGCAAATCCATTTGACTTGCAGTATTTTTTTTTAAATGGAATGATTACATAATGTCTATAAAAGGAATAATTTCCCTTCTAGGATTTTATGGAGATTATATGGATACTCTGCTAGGCTACTGAAAACTAAACTTTTTAGAACAGCTGCATCAAATACATCATTTCCAGAAGTTTGGTTACTGCTGGTACAGTATTTTGAGAGATTACCTGGATTTTTTTGGGTAGTTCAGAGAAACAGTTTCTTTACAATGCCTGAAATTCTAGAAAATAAAGCTGATCTTGAATTGTATTCACCTCATCCTGAAGTACGTGGAATGACAACACTTGACAGAGCAGCTTTCAAAAGGACAATTGTTGTTCCAGTTCTAAAAGTGAAAAAAGAAGTAATAAACAAATTGTTAAAATCCCTCAAACATATAACACTGCATCGCCCAGGTCTGAAGCGAGTGATTGATGATCCAAAAGATGAAGACAGACTTGTTTTGTTGGATCCTCATAAAATATCAGCAGAATATTCACTGGGAGAATCTGAACAAGAAATATTAAAGCAGTTTAATATTGACCCTCAGGTGTCCAAGTATAACTTGGAACTGACTTACGACAATTTCAAGACTGAGGAAATCTTACGAGCGGTGCTTCCTGTAGGTCAAGATGTCACCTCTGGATTTACTAGGATTGGCCATATAGCTCACTTGAATCTTAGAGATCATCAGCTACCCTACAAACATCTGATTGGTACGTACAACCTTCACACTCAAATAACTTTGGGAGAAGCGTATAATTGGATAAGTCATTTTAACAAGTGCCTGAGCTAGAGATGATTATTTTGCACAGGGAAACCTTTTGGGAACCCTCATTGTTTTAAAATTTTCTTACCTTAAACAGCCTTTTATTAAAAGTGAATGCTTGGGTTAAAGGGCACTGGATCAGGCCTTTTTAATGTATAGTGAACTTGAAGTTAGTAGTAGTCATTTGACCTCACTGGGTCAGGCCCTTTGCCTGTAGCAAATTTCAGGTTAGGCCCATTAAGCTCAACTCCTTTATGGCAGGGAAGACCAAGATCAAAACTGTAATATTTTATTTATATAGCAGCTATAGCTTGCTACTCTAGTCTGCCTTTTGAACTTATGTTACTAGCTGATCTGGGTACCAGGAGAATCACGTTGATATGGGAGTTGAATCGGCCCTGTAGATAATGATAATTTATTATGTGTATTACAGTAGTGCTGAAATGCCCCAGAACACTACAGGTGAAGTGACTTGCCTAAGGTCACATGGCAGGTCAGTAGCAGAATTAAGTCTCCTGAGTTCCAGACCAGTGACCTACCCACTAGAGCAGCAGCTCCTAAACTTTATTGGTTCACATACCATCAACTTAAATGGTGAAGTGACTGGATGGATCATCAAGCTCACATATTATAGATTGGGAATCTCCGCAGTAGACAGTACTCTCTTCCTGAAGCACAAGAGCCTTCACTGGGAATCTAACCCTCTTTTTCAGTGTAAAATATTTGCACTAGGAGTTCCCTGTGACAGTGGCACTAGTGGAAATAATTTATAGCACACTGAATGATTTCACATGTAAGTCATTCTATAGGTAGTTTGCTTTTTTAAAATACAACTCAGAATTGCTGTCATATTTTACAGGATTTAAAGATTTAGCAACACTTAGTAGCTGAATATTTGATCCCTTTCTTGCAGGTCAGGTTATAATTGACAAGAATCCAGGAATCACCTGTTCAGTAAATAAAATCAATATTATTGACAACACTTATCGAAATTTTCAAATGGAAGTGCTAGCGGGAGAGGCCAATATGATAACAAAGGTACAGTTTTTCCTATTTTCTCCTGGCACAGCTAGTCAGACACACAGAATGCAGTTGAAGTGGAAGAGTAGATGTGATGGAAAGATACCATAAAACTTAAATGTTGTCCCAATCCCACCCCCGGCCCAGTATCTCAGTACTTAGCAGTCCTGTATGTGTTCTATGTGCCCCGGTCTACCTCTGCCTGGTGGGGGCTTCAGACGCTTGGCGGCATGGGTCCCTGCAGCCCCAGCTGCAGCTTCCTTCCTGCCGTCGAGCACGTTCCCTGGCCTGTCTGTCCCCGCCGGAAACAGCTCCTGCGGTGCTGGGTTCCGAGCTGCGCGGGGCAGCGAGGCCATAGGAAGGGTGGGTCCCCACCCACGTGGGAAGCCCGAGGCGCCCCACCCCCCCATATACCTCGCCCGAGCATTGTAGCCAGGGCAGCTGGGCTATGCTGCGGATCGTGCTGGGGCTGGGCGGACCCTGGCTTATGCCTCCCTATTTCCCCGGACATGTCCGGCTCTTTGGAAATTCCCCCCAGTTGGGGATTTGAGCACCAAAAAGCCGGACATGTCCGGGGAAATCCGGACGTATAGTAACCCTACTGTTAATATAATATCAATTGAAATTTATTAAATGTTTTTCTGCATTTTCAAATGTATTGATTTAAATTACAACACAAAATACAAAGTGTAGACTGCTCACTTTATATTTATTAAATATTTGCATTGTAAATGATAAAGTATTTTTCAGTTCATCTCAAACAAGTACTGTAGTACAATCTCTATCGTGAAAATGCAACTTACAAATGTAGAGATTTTTTTTTTGTTATATAACTGCACTCAAAAACAAAAACAATGCAAAAGTTTAGAGCCAACAAGTTCACTCAGTCTGACTCTTGTTCAGCCAGTCGCTAAGACAAACAAGATTTTACATTTACAGGAGATAGTGCTGCCTGCTTTTTGTTTAAGTCACCTGAAAGTGAGAACAGGCATTCGCATGGCACTTTTGTAGCCAGCATTGCAAGGTATTTACGTGCCAGATATGCTAAACATCCGTATACCCCTTCATGCTTCGGCTACCATTCTAGAGGACATGCTTCCATATTAATGACGCTCATTAAAAAAACCTTAATTAAATTTGTGACTGAACTCCTTGGGGGAGGATTGTATGTCTCCAGCTCTGTTTTACGTGCATTCTGCCATATATTTCATGTTGTTGTAGTCTTGGATGATGACTCAGCACACGTTCATTTAAAGAACACTTTCGCAGCAGATTTGACAAAACGCAAAGAAGGTACTAGTGTGAGATTTCTCAAGATAGCTACTGCACTCGACCCAAGATTTAAGAATCAGAAGTGCCTTCCAAAATCTGAGAGGAATGAGGTGTGGAGCATGCTTTCAGAAGTCTTAAAAGAGCAACACTCCAATGCGGAAACTACATAACCTGAACCACCAAAAAAGAAAATCAACCTTCTGTTGGTGGCATCTGACTCAGATTATGAAAATGAACATGCTTTGGTCCACACTGGTTTGGATTGTGATCTAGCAGAACCTGTCATCAGCATGGACGCATGTCCTCTGGAATGCTTGATGAAGCATGAAGGGACATATGAATCTTTAGCGCATCTGGCATGTAAATACCATGTGACGCCGGCTGCAACAGTGCCATGTGAATGCCTATTCTCACTTTCTGGTGCCATTGTGAAGAAGAAGCAGGCAGCATTATCTCCTGCAAATGTAAACAAACTTATTTGTCTGAGCAATTGGCTGACCCACTAGACTTGTAGGCTCTAAAGTTTTACATTGTTTTATTTTTGAATGCAGTTATTGATGCACATAATTCTACATTTGTAAGTTCAACTTTCACGATAAAGAGATTGCACTACAGTACTTGTATGGGGTGAATTGAAAAATACTACCTTGTTTTTTACAGTACAAATATTTAATAAAAAAATATAAAGTGAGCACTGTACACTTTGTACTCTGTGGTGTAATTGAAATCAATATATTTGAAAATGTAGAAACATCCAAAAATATTTTAAATAAATAAATGTTGCTTAATCATGTTTTTTTTTTAATCACTTGACAGCCCTAGAAGTTACTAATTTAGAACTTAGGTTCCCTTCCCCTTCCAAAAACCCCAAACTATTTTTACATTGTTAAATACATTTGGTGGAAGAAAATAAGGTAAGTGCTTTGGATTCACTTTGCGTAGTGGAGTGCCTGGAGCAAAGGCTAGGACTTACATTCTGTTCCTGTGTCTACCACTGACTGACTGTGACCTAGGCAAGAGATTCTATGCCTCAGTTTTCCCCTTTTGTAACACTTTGGTAGATGTTTTATGACCCTTGGGTGAAAAGCACTAATTATCAATACATAGAAAGTACTATTAATTTAACTGGGCTGTTAAGGCTTAGACGGGAGTTAAGGCAACAATTACTAATTTGGCAATTCATTTTTAAAATTTTTTGGTTAAATTTAATTAGGTTTCCTCCGAAACATAATTAAATAGTTTGTGCCTGTAAGAGCTGGCAGAATACACAGATAGAAAACATTTTAATCAGATCAACAGTCTGATGATTTCATTCAAGATTGCAAGGTGGCATTAGCTCATAATTAAGCATATTTGAGCTATGTTTCTCTACTACTGGAGTTCTTGCACTGTGGGTATGAGAGTGTAAAATAGTTTTGTATTATGTCTATTGGCAATGCAAATGGTAGTGAGTCTGATTATTCATCATAGATTACTTGTCAAGCTAGCACAAAAAAAATTTCAGATCGGAGAGGGGAAGGTGTGAGGCTTCCTGGAGGTACCCAGCGTTGTAAGGCACCTTTTTACCACCTGCCCATATTGTGAGGAATGCTTGTCTGTGCCTGCCTGGGGGTCAGCTCCCCAATTCCACCTGCAACACAGGCACTCCCCTCTAGGCCTCGCAGGCCCCACTGTTACTCTGAAGGTTAGCAATAGGCAAACCCCAATCCTCTAGCCCTCAGTGTGTCTCCCTGGACTTTCCAGCCCCTGGTCCACTGTACACTTGCAGTATTGACAGTCACTGCTTCCAAAGGAACAGTACACCCCAGCTTACCATTTCAGATCACCACTCTGTTTAGCACACAGCACTTAGATATGTTGATTGTTAAATAAACTTATACTTGATTGCACTAAGCATAGTAATAGCAAGTGGTAGTATTGGAAACAAATGATTACATATAAAGTAACATATCCCAGAGCCTAGACTTAATTAACAAGATACTCAGGTCTTGTAGAATATTGCTCACCCAGAATCCTTGCAGCACTGTCACAGCCAGGCTGGCTGTGACCCTTCTTTCATGAGAGAAGTATGCTGTCAGTTTGCCTCCTAGATGAAGGATACATTGTGTTTCTCTCCCCCCCCCCCCACTCCACTATACCAGCCCAATACTTTGTCTTTATTCATAAACACGACCCCCTCCCCTTCTTCTCCCCACCCCAGCTGTTTGTTTCATTTTGTAGGTTTCCTTTCTTGTAGATTTTGCAATCTCTCACTTTGCAACTGGCTTAGTATGTGAATAGGCATACTGCATGGGGCATACAATACCCAAATGGCCAGAGAGGGAGATAGGTGTCTGTTACCTCCTACCTAAAATGAACATTTTTGAGGTTTGTCTTCACTTCAAGACCATAGGAAAATAATTTTTAGTAGAGATACATAACTCAAATATTATCCATTCAGACATTTAGCAATGATTACGGTGACCAGAGGACTACTGGCTCGAGGTAGAAATCTCCCATATCAGCCTTTGGTAAACTATTATACATATATCCAACCTTGAAGGTGCCTGTAAAACCCTGTGTACCCTTTGTGCCCTCTGCCAGTTGGCACCAAGAGGTCCTTGTGTCACAGAAAGTAAAGGGGGTTTTATATCACCACCTCACTTTAGTAATCATTAGTACACTCTAAGAACTTTAGGTATCTCAAACTTCCTGTTTGATGGGGGTCAGTAACCTGGACTATGCCACCTGTGAAGGCCAAGTGCAATACAGTTTCAGAGTTTGTAGAACTGGCTACCAAGTAGCTGAATTTGATCCACCACTGCCATACTTGCATTTTCATCCTGTTATTTACTGTGGATTCTAGAATGAGGAGGATTTGAGGCATCTTCTGAAACCAGCTACTAATAAAGCAATTATCAGCCAGTCACAAAGTCCTTGAAGGGACTATTTTTTAAAATGGTCATTTTAAGTTGTTGCTTTTTTCCCCACCTTGTGCTTTACATATGACAGCTACCTGGATTGATTGACTGAAATATTCCTTATTTGGCCACAGAGGACCAAATAATGGTCCTTTTATAGAAAGAGCTGGGCTGGGAAAGCCAGTTGGCATTGAAAATGTTTTCTGATTAACAGAATGTTTATTAAATAAGATCAAGATTCTCTTGTCCTATCAGTGGCATGAACATCAATGTTCCCATTACATTTTAGTAAAATGTTTAATAAATTGATTGATTAAACATACATGTATGTCTGGAATCTAAATACAGGTGGTTTAAACAAATGTCTTGGACTTTTTTCAGACTAGAGAAAACAACATCACCTATGAATTTGACTTTTCTAAAGTCTATTGGAATTCCCGTCTAAGCACAGAACATGGCCGTATCATTGAACTTTTAAAGCCAGGTGACGTTCTATTTGATGTCTTTGCCGGGGTTGGGCCTTTTGCCATTCCAGCTGCAAAGAAAAAGTGCAGCGTATTTGCAAATGATCTCAACCCTGAATCCTACAAATGGCTTCTACACAACTGTAAATTAAATAAAGTGGACAAAAACATAAAAAATTTCAATATGGATGGTCGGGATTTTCTTCTGGGGCCAGTTAAAGAAGAGCTAACCAAGGAACTGCCACTTCTGACAAAAGAAAGGAAAAACACTCTGCACATAGTCATGAATTTGCCAGCTTTGGCTATCAAATTTCTAGATGTTTTCAAACATTTATTAGACGGAAAGCCATGCAGCACTGACCTCCTTCCCACAGTGCACTGTTACAGCTTCTCAAAACATGATAGTCCAGCAAAAGACGTTCAAGAATGGGCTGAAGTTTTTCTGGGAACTTCTTTAGAGGGACGCTGTTCTACTCATCTGGTGAGAAGTGTTGCACCAAATAAGGAAATGATGTGCATCAGTTTCCAGATCCCAGCTGAAGTGCTGTTCAAGAAGCAGTGTACTCATGAAGGTAAATTAAAATCCAGTGCTGGAAACTTTAGGGTTTTTCAGTTGTATACTTTGTCTCAAATTATACTTGAGAAAAAAAAGACTGCATTTGATGGATTTAAAACTAGAATTCTCTCAGCTATGGGGCTGATTCGAGTCTCATTTAGTGGTGTAATTCCAATTTGTTAGTCCTAATTTAGATACCCTCCTGCACTAAGTAACACAGGCAGACCCTTGTGAAGTCAGTTGTAGAATCAGAGCCTCTAAATTGGCAGGATCAGGTTCTATAAATTTTAATTGGAAAACTTGACGTTCACGTAGAAACTCCTATTGAGTTCAGTAGGGTCAGGCTTTAGTCCCAGTAAGGTTAATGGCGTTGACTCATCACATGCTTACCTTCCACCCTCCCTGACACCCTCCTCCTCTGACAACTTTGACACTGGACTCTTTGTCCTGTTCATTGAAGTGCCACAAGTCCTGTGTATGTTTTAGTGTCGAGACTGTTTTGTGTAGAAATGTATTAAATGTTAATGTACTACTTTCTGAACTTTGTTCCAGAGAGTCCTGTGGAACCAGCTTCTAAACGTTTGCGCCCAAATGAAGACTCTCCTGAAGAAAAATTGACTAGTTTAAAAGACTAGTTAATACTGTTTTGGTTATTTTGTGCAAGAGAGCTAGGTGGGAAATCTACCCTCAAGTCACTGAAAGCAGAATGGATTTACCCCCATACACCAAGAAAATAGTCATAATGCATAATTATTTTTTTTTAAATTCCAGGATCAGTAACTAGACAGGATCATTTCTTTTATTGCAGAGAATATTAAACTTTTTATTTTCTCATGTTATGCATTAGTTCTGTCATATGTTTGTCCGGGTGGGGGGGGATGGCCAGGGAGGGTGTGATAGCACAAAGATTGTGAATGTTTCCAGATGTAGCTTTATTTTGGGCATTTGCAGTTTATGGCAAGATATTTTTATTGTAAATGTTTTAGATTGGACAACATGGCCCATTCTATTTTTTTAGAACTTTTATAAGGAGAATTGTAGTTATGTTAGGGAAGGCCATCTGTATTTAGAATCATAGAATATTATGGTTGGAAGAGACCTCAGGAGGTCATCTAGTCCAATCCCCTGCTCAAAGCAGGACCAACACCAACTAAATCATCCCAGCCAGGGCTTTGTCAAGCTGGGCCTTAAAAACCTCTAAGGATGGAGATTCCACCACCTCCCAAGGTAACCCATTCCAGTGTTTCACCACCCTCTTAGTTTCCAAATATCCAACTTAGACCTCCCCCACTGCAACTTGAGACCATTGCTCCTTGTTCTTTCATCTGCCAGCACTGAGAACAGCCTAGCTCCATCCTCTTTGGAACCCCCCTCATTCTTCTCTTCTGCAGACTAAATAACCCCAGTTCCCTCAGCCTCTCCTCGTAAGTCATGTGCCTCAGCCCCCTAATCATTTTTGTTGCCTTCCACTGGACTCTCTCCAATTTGTTCACATCCCTTCTGTAGTGGGGGGACCAAAACTGCACGCAATACTCCAGGTGTGGCCTCACGAGTGTTGAATAGAGGGGAATAATCACTTCCCTCGATCTGCTGGCAGTGCTCCTACTAATACAGTCCAATAGGTCATTAGCCTTCTTGGCAACAAAGGCACACTGCTGACTCATATCCAGCTTCTTGTCCACTGTAATCCCCAGGTCCTTTTCTGCAGAACTGCTGCTTAGCCAGCAGTTTGTGCAAGCAGAACTGGGCTCTTTCACGTGCAGACAGGTTTGGTGCTTACATGTACTGGATTTGCATGAATGGAGAGTGCATGAACACACAAACAGCTTTTGTATAAGCAAGACAGCTTTTTGAAAATTTGACTTAAGGTACAAGTAAACACACATACCTGTGCCACTGTAATGATAAATGGTATCACCACCAAACTTATTTAGCTCGGTTTTAGAGAACTCTGTACTTACTAAAGCTTGAAAGACGCTGCTGCCTAGTAAGTGGCCATTAGTACCCAATACAAGTGATTTAGTTTTGCTTCAGTGCAAGCTTGTGGCTAGGGCACTGAACTGGGATTTGTAAATCCCAAGGCCAGAAGGGACCATTGTGATAATTTAGTCTGACCTCCTGTGTAACAGGCCATAGAACACTTCCAAAATAATTCCTTTTGAAACTAGAGCATATCCTTACAAAAAACTCAAATTTTTCAATCAAGTTTTAAAAATTGCCAGTGATGGAGAATCCACCACAACCCTTAGTGAATTGTTCGAGTGGTTAATTATTCTCTCTGTTAAAGGTATGCCTTATTTCCAGTTTGGATTTGTCTAGCTTCAAATTCCAGCCACTGTACCCCAGAGAGTTAAGTTCACTTGCTAGGTGATCTTGGGCAAGTCATTTAATCCCTCTTATTTACATTGTATACTTTAAGTGACCCAGTACACTTTAGGATCTTTAGCACTTATTTGAGTATTGCTCTTACCTTTCCAGTTCATGTTTAAGCTGTTGTCTCATTTTGTTCACAATAAATATTTGCATATAAATGAAGTACTTGAATTTAGGCACATCCAAGGCTAGATTTTCTGAATACTGAGTACAAAACTGCACCTGCAATTATGGCTTCTGCACCCATATTTAGAAATGGGACATAAAAATAGCCAGTTAAGTATCTCCTCATTTGCACATGTTCTTAGCATGACTGCATTCACATTTATGACCAGACAGCTAAAGCGTTACAACTCAACAAGTGGAAGGAATTACCTGGGAAACCAAAGCAAGTGCTTCTCTAATGTCATCCTGTGTGAATTCAAACAAGTACCCGTTCACATCACTGCTTGTACACAGTACAGCCAATCTAGAATACGGTGCAAAAGTACGGAACTTGCCCAGCTGCCTTTCTGCCACCACTGCAGAAGCTCCTGTTTAATGTTAACTGTTCTACAACCAGTTCTCTCTTGCTTGAGGTGCCTCCCTTATACACTACCTGGAGCAAGGCTGTCACTTTCTTGTGATACCAACCCCTCTTTCCTCTCCCTCGAAAAAGCTGACCAGCTTGTTTTTAACAGATTTTTAAGATAAAGCTGAAAACTTTACTTCATCTCTACCTATACTAGAAGCTCTGGTTCTATTCCCCAGTCAAAATTGCTTTCATCTCCTATGCTCCCCTTCAAACACTGGTCCATGTCACTTCTCCCCAACCAGGCTAACAGTCTCAAACCTAGCTAACCTTTGCTGCTTGTTAAGCTTGCTGTCTAGCTTCTGCCATCTGTTGGCAGAGGCTGATATTCCTCACTCTGTGGTTTTGTTCTCATCCCCCGTCTCCAATTTAATCTGTTACTTTAAACTCTATAATGCATATAGACAACCGGGGCTTTGAAGGGCATTAGCCTTTCCTCCTCCTCCAAAAATAGGGATTGCATTCATAGAGGAAAGTTTGGAACTGAAGTTCATTTATCTCAATTTATTAAAAGTAGACAAATTTAGTCATGATACAAAAATACTCATTAAAGTGATACTCAGGCACCATTATGTTTTAACTCTAGCTCTCCCCTAAATAAAAGAAGTTGCCGAAACTGTCTATAGCAAAATAGAGACAGCTCATCTTGTCCTTGGCCAGTTCCTTTTCCATGTAGTCAATGCACTTACCTGATTCAATACAGAAGTAAAACCTCTGCTGACTGCATACCCCTAGTTGTCACCTAGCACCCCATACTGGAACCCAGACAGGGTATCAGCAAACAATTACAACCCATACTTAGTAGGGACCTATCCTGAAAGAAACCTTTTGGCCTTCAAACAACCCTCCAGCCTCTTCAAGCTCATCACCAGAAGCAAGCTCCCCATAGACCAGGACACACCAACTCAAAGCAACACCAGACCCTGCCAGAACAACATGCAAAACCTGCAGACATCTCCATTGCTACAATGATCAACACCCCCCCCCCCCCAATACATCTTTCAAGATCCCTGGATCCTACACATGCCTATCACAACATGTGGTGTCCCTCATCCAGTGCACTAAATGCCCCAACAACTATGTAGATGAAGTCAGACTTTCACTACAGTCTCGAATGAAGTCACACAGGAAAATTATAAAAGACAAACTCCATCGCCTGTGGGTGAACACTTTTCACAAAGCGCTCACTCTACATCTCACCTATCAATCCTCATCCTCAAAGGAAACCTGCACAACGGTTTCAAAAGATGAGCCTGGGAGCTGAAATTCATAACTTTGCTAGACACTAAAAATCATAGACTGAATAGACACACTGGAGTTGCATAACTCACTAATTCCCTCCTCCCCCTTTTTTTTGTTCGGACTACAGGGGTCTTAATGCGCCCACTTCACCTTGTATGGTCCCTTAGAATGTGTTAACTACTTATGCTAAACTATCTGATCTTTTATTTAGCTGTGACACTTACCTTTCCCAGACTTAAACTTTCGAGCTACACAGAGCTCTTCTTCGTCTCTCAGCAACAGAAGTTAGTCCAATAAAAGATACTACCTCACCCACCTTGATATCCTGGGACCGACATGGCTACAACAACACTGCATACCTGGGAAAGGACATTCCTGAAGTTACTGGCCTGGGACCCCACCCTCTCTGCAACTGTTTCTAAGGCTAGGGCTCCACTAGAGAGCTTGCAGCAGCTCTAAGCTGATGGGAGAGAGCTCTCCCCTGGGCTTATTGACTCCAGCCCAGGGGTGGGCAAAATACATCTAACATTTCTGTCTGGCCCACCAGGCTCTTTGGCTGCTCCCTCACGATCTCCGGGCTGCTAGAAGTCCTGCAGCTTCCAGGAGCAGCGTGGGGCCATGGCAGGAAGGCAGCCTTCCTGAGCGCCCTGCTGCGCCGCCGGCTGGGAGCCACCTGCACCTCGCACCCCCTCCCACACCCCAGCCCCAAGTCAGAACCCTTCCTGCACCCAAACTCCTTCCCAGACCCTGCACCCCCATCCCCTGCCCCAGCCCGGAGTCCCCTCCAGCACCAAACTCCCTCCCAGAGCCCACACCCTTCTCCTGCACCCCAACACTCTGCACCAGCCCGGACCTCCCTCCTGCATCCAGAACCTGCCTGCCCTCCATTAATAGAGTAGAAATGTGCGGCCCGTGACAACTTACCAAAAATCCAAGGAGTGGCACCCCTGCAAAAATTATTGCCCACCCCTGCAGGGGGAGAAGTACTACTGCTGACATAAGTGCCAGTGTGAACAGCACTAGGTCGGCATAAGTTATGTCGCTCAGGGGGACGGCTATTTCACACCCCTGAGCGACATAAATTACGTCAACTTAAGCTGGAGTGTAGCCTTAGCCTCAGATTTGTGGCAAGAGTATCCAGGTAGTCAGGCCTATGGGAATGAGAAAGCAGTAGGAGACTGGAGGTGGATGTGCCTGCCCTGAGAAACTTCTAAACTAGGGGTGCTCAAACTTTTCCTCTCGTGCCCCCCGCCCCTTACCTGTAAAGGAACGTGTCTGCGCCCTTCCTCACACACACACACACACCCCTTCCAAGGGCTAGGGCGGAGCTGGGGGCAAAGCAGGCCTGGGTGGCACTCTTTCCCGGGCCCTGCCGTGCTCCCCGGATGTTCCTCTGTGCTCCGCTGTGCGGTGCGCCCCACAGTTTGGGGACCACTGTTCTAAACCGTCACAGAAAACTTGCTCTGCTTAATAAAGGAGCTGTGCTGAGGGAGTGGGGGGATGACAAAATGATGAAGCAAAGGTTTGTTGCATTCTTTTCTATATCATTTGGCCTCCTTTAGCCTTCTCCGGTTAGAACCACTTGAACTAGTAATGATGCTCCATTTAAGCTTATTCTCCAGGAACACAGGTGAAGGATTCTTAGCCAGGGACTTTACTGCCACTTTCTGGACAAAGGTAACATGAGGAGTGACATGAAACATGCTGTCAGCACAGCTCCACGTTTTCTTGTCTCCCACTACGGGCATTAGGAAACAAACCCACTCGTCTAGGCTGGAGAAAATAGTTTTATGGGGGAAAAAACATAGGTTTGAATATTGACTCAATGTTATAATCAAAATGGCATTTAAATGCTTGTGCAAATAAAACCCTGCAATAAGAGTAAAACCACAAAATTTAATAAAAAGTCTGGTTTTATTTTAAAAAATTTACAAGTCTCTTTTTTAAACCTCAAACATCCATAGCTGAATTATTCACATCTTCCATTAGATGTGGCTTATTGCTTCAGCCCCTCTCAGCGAAGTGCCACATGACTAAAGAGTTCCCCTTCCGCAAAAATGTATCCACCACTTTACAAAGCTCTTGTGCAGACTTAAAAAAAAAACTTTAGTAAAGCCAGCTGTGCTTAAGTATTTTATATATATATGAAAAAGGTGACAGCAGGTTAACGATAGTGCAGATGGCAGCAGTTTCACTGGAGGTTTGCTTGACTTGCTCCTTGCTCCAGTCCGGTGCCCACTGCTCACAGGCCGGTGTATGCAGGCTAGCTGGGATGCCAGAAAAGCCCACTGAAAGCATCCTGTAGGGCTCGGTGACAAGCCAGGGAGGAAGTGTAGCCCCCAGCAAGATCCTGTGGAGAGGTGGCTCGGACATGGTTTAGATATCTAAAACAAACAGAAACATCGTTTTAGGCCAAAACCCATCATCATATATACTGTGGGAACCCCAAGAAGTTTTTTTTAAAGTTCCCACCACTGAAAACTTTTCCAACTAGAAACTATAGTGATCAAATATATTTAGCCTCTCCCATAATTGTTCAATAAGCAAAGTATCCTGAATGATTTCTAACGTACTTAAAGCACAAATTATTAAAGAGTCAGACCACATAAATATATGCCTGTATTTTGTATAGTCTCATAAAAACTAGCTTTCTAAAAGTTTTACTGATTAAATAATACAAGATAATGTGCAACATGGCTTGTAAAGTTCAGAAAACAAGGGTTCAAAGACCTCGGACACATTTCAGAGGCCATGCACCTGATGTGCTGGAAGAACCTGCCCATGTGTGTAGAACAGTGGTTCCCAACCTTTTCTCTGCCACAGCACACCTTGATATAACTTTCATTATTTTGAGGCACACCAAATGAACTCATGAATATTCAGGAGCCAATCCCAAACAAGGCTCCCAAATGTATTGGGTAGGAGCATTTTGACCCCTGCAGCAGAATTTCTCACCCCTACATCTGCCCATCCCAAGCCCAGCAATGAATTCTGTCCTCCAACCTCCAAATCAATCCTGTGCCCAAGTCTCCAAACCAGTTCTGCTCCATAGCCACCATCAGTTGCGTCCTCAGCCCCCACCTCACCCCAATTCTGCCCCCCACCCGCACCAGTTCTACCCCTTCCAACTCCCTCACCTCACACCCATCTCACCTCTGCTTCTCCTGGGGTTCTTCTCCCCTCCCAACCTTGGGGGGCTGTAGCAGAGTCCCTGCTCCCCTTCTAAGCTAGGGAGGGGTGGCTCCAGGAGGCTCTTCCACCCCCGCCCCAGCTGGTGGCTGCAGGCGGGGGGGGGGGGAAGAGGGAGATTGAGCTCTGATTGGTTGCTCTGTCCCCTGGAGGAGGCAGGGTAGTGAGGCACACAGACAATTCCCCTTCCTTTCTCCTCCCCTGCTCCCACTCCACAGGATTCAAATTTGCTATCTTAACCTCACTTTGGGGAATGGAATGTGATGCATGCATAATATTTGCAAGGGGCCTGGGCCTGGAGAGCAAACACAAACTGCAATCCACCTCCGACACTAATTAAAATACAAGGGAAGGTTTTTTTGTTCTCATGGAGTTTTTCAAAAAAATCAGCAGCACACCTGTTCAGGCCTGCTGGCACACCAGTTGGGAGAAACAGGTGTATAATACAGGCCAGCATGTGTGAAAATGCTCACAAATTTCAGGTTTTCTGGGCGCAGTGGGTATCTATGCATTTTTCCCCCCAGTTGCTTTCATTACCGCTCTTGAAAATCTAGCTAAATTCAAGCACTTAGTCAAGAACATGAAAGATATCAGACTCTATAGAAGTCTATGGAACCACCTGAGTCTAAAGTCCCCTAGTAACTCACAGGACAAGCATGGAGGGACAATGGCAATACAAGCTTCCCTACATTGCTCTGAAGGGGTCTTTGAGAAGTTCTATGTCCAGTTAGTGCTAGACTGCCAGCAGAATGGCAGTGGTGCTGGTGGGTTTGGAGATACCAATATTTCGCATTCTGCTCCCAGAATGTACATCTGGAGCAGTTACACTGGTGCAAGGCGATTGCAAAACCAGACCCATTAGTGAACGAATCCTCACAGCACCTCTGTGAATTAAGTATATTCCCCATTTTACAGATAGGGAAATTGCATCAGACACAGGTGTCCCCAGAATCCTTATTAGCAAGTGGATAGAAACCAGCAACTCATTTCACACAGGGCTGGAAATATCCAGACCAAATTTGAACCAGTGACCTGAAGCTGGAAGAGGCTACGCTCATTGTGTGTCCTTGAGCTCTCTGCTCTCCCCAGCCCTTTTTTGGGAGCCCAACACTGAGGTTATTTTGCCCGCTAAGAACTACCAGTAAAGTGGCAGTGTTGTATGAAGAATGGGGCTAAATGGGGCTTGAATGTTTCATTTAGTGCCATAAACTCATAATCCCTGCCCTCTGCATAATAAAGATGTAGGGCCAGATCCTCACCTGGTGTAAATTACTTTGGTGCAGCTATACCCATTTATACCAGCTGAGGAGCTGGTCCATAGAATCCAATTAAGCACATAAAATCTTCAGGGTTACAGTTTAACATCACCAGCAGAGTGGCTGCCTCAACCTTTAAAAGCCAGATACAGCACCATAACTGAGAACACTGCTCTACAGCCAAAATGCTTCTGAAATAAATGTAGTCAAACTTTACTAATTCTGGGTCACTGAGAACGAAAATGATGCTTAAAATTGTTGATTGGCTCTAGTTTTCAATATATGCTATTGGGTCAGTATATACGACCCTTGACTTGGGAATGGCAGAGGATAAGTGAGTTATAAAGGGAAGGGATCTCAATTTAAACCAGAAATGACTAAAATACATCTTTGACTGGATCTATGAATAAATCTATGACTGGGTTTGGACAGTACTTGCTTTTTAGGCAAAACAATGAATGATGCAATCGGAAGCTGGTATTGCATCATACATTATATGAATTGCATCATGTTATTCCTAGAAGTCATGGATGATGCAATCATAACGAAGCTTACATCACTCTGCTGAACAAATTGCCCTATATCAGCTCTAGAAATCATACAGTGTCGTGCTCTCTTATTTGTCAGTGTTTGATTTTGCAAAGGGACACATTTCTGTTTAGCCAAAGTGAGCAGAGATGCCTCGTACTTGTGTGAACAATGCAGATAACTTCTGCTATGTTTGTGGTGAAGTGACTTTTGCATCACAACAGCGCAGTATAACCACTATGGTTAAGAAAGCCTGTCACCTTTATTTTGGCTGCAAAATTGGAGATCAGGACAAGAGGTGGGCCCCACACATATGCTGCAACACTTGTGCAACAAATCTTTGCCAGTGGTTGAACAGGAAAAGGAAATCTATGCCTTTTGCAGTGCCAATGATTTGGCGAGAGCCAACAGATCATACCAGCAATTGTTACTTCTGCATGGTGCTTCCAGTCGGGAAAAGTGTCTTAAAGAAGAAAAAGTGGCCTGCGCTTTAACCAG